TAATTAAGTTGTATAGTCTCCAATATTTCTTTCAGTTGTAAGAAAAGGGATGGGCTCTATATATATTCATACAATTTTTTTTTGTCTTTTTCCTTTTTATCGGTACCAGGGATCAAACTCACGACTGCCTGTGAGCTAAATCCCCAGCCCTATTCATACATTTTTTTTTTTGTGGACTGGGGATTTAGTTCCGTGGTGTAAGTGTCTGCCTGGCAAGCACAAGGTCATGAGTTCAATTCCTGGTATGAAAAAAATTTTTTTGGTCTTTTTGGGTCGGGTCTCACTATACAGTTCAGGCTGGCTTTGAGCTTACTTTGTAGCCCAGGCTGGTCTTGAATGCAACAGTCCTCCTGCCTTGGCCTCCCGAGTGTTGGGATCACAAGTGTGTGCCACCATGCCCATCCATAAACTTTTTTGAAACAGTCTTGATATATTCTCCAGATTGATCTTGCACTCATGATCCTCCTGCCTCAGAGTCTGGAGTTCTGGGATTACAGGTGTGTACCACTATGACTAGCATGCTTTTATTTTTGTTTTGAGACAGGGTCTCACTGGGTAGCTCAGGGTAGCCTTGAACTTGCAATTGTCTTATCTCAGCCTCTCAAACTCTTGGACTACAAGTATGGGTCACTAGGCCCAGTTTACATAATTTTTTTTTTTCATTTTAAAATATTTATTTATTTATTTATTTATTTATTCACTCATTCATTCATTTGCAGTACTAGGGATTATACCCAAAGCCTTTGCACTGAGTTCCATCCTTGGCCATTAATTTTTTTTGAGATCTCACTAAGTTGCTAAATTGTTCAGGCTAGCCTCAACCTTGAGATCTGTTTACCTCAGCCTCCCAAAGCACTGGTCTTACAGGTCTGGGCCACCACACCTGGCCCAGGCTTACTTTTGCATTTTAAATTAAGATTGATGCAGAGCCAGACTTGCTAACCAGGTGAGGGAAGGAAAGAGCAAAAAAAAATTAAATTAAGATGATGAGCTGAGCAAGATGCAGACTGAGCACATTTCCGTTGGAACACAGTGACTGTACAGCTTTGTATAGGCCTCCCACACATACACCATCGTCGCACCCCAGCCATGGGCATTCTCAGGTCAGTATCTTTTTTCTGATTATTAATGATGACATAAAAATAACATACCCACTCTTTTCTTTTTGTTCAGCAGACAGTAAATTGTTCTTTTTGTTTTGGCATTATTCCTAATGTGAACATGTCTAATAATTTGATAGTCTTGTTCATAAAGGGATACATTTGTGGTACAATCAAAAAAGTAAGAAAAGCTATTTTGCCTTTTTTACTGTAAATAGTATTTCAATTTTCAGATGATTTCCCAGTAGTACTTAAACTTCAATTCTATTTTATTTTACTTTATTCTATTTTGTGATATTGGGGATTGAACTCAGGGTTTTTGTATCTAGCTACAGTCCCAGCCCTCTTTTATTCTGAGATAGGTCTTGCTAATTTGCTAAATTTCCCAGGCTGGACTCAAACTTGCTATCCTCCTGTCTCAGCGCCCCTCTAGTAGCTGGGATTACAGGGGTATGACACTATGCCTGTTTTAAATTCTTTGTTTTTTCTACCAGGGATTGAACTCATGACCTTGTGCTTGCCAGGCATGTGTTTATGCTGCTGAGTTAAATCCCCAGCCTCTAAATTCATTTTTCTTTTTGAGCCAGGGTCTTCCTATATAGTGCAGGCTGGCCTCAAGCTCACAGTTATCTTCCTGCCTCAGCCTCTCTAATGCTGGGATCACAGACATGAATCATCATACCTGCCTTCAAGTTTGACTTCATTGGACAGTAAGACACAGATCCATTTTTATGAATAGCTTGGGCTGGGGATTTAGCTCAGTGGCATAAGTGCCTGCCTAGCAAGTGCAAGATCCTGAGTTCAATCCCCAGTACTGCAAAAAAAAAGGTACAAAATCATTTTTATGAATAGCTATATGATTATTATAGACATTATGAAGATGTACAAGTTCAGCCAGGAATGGTGGCACACACCTATAACTCCAGCACTTGTGAGGCTGATACAGAAGGATTGCTGTGAGTTCAAGGCCAGCCTGGGCTACAAAGTGAGCTCAAGGCCAGCCTGGACCCCATAGTGAAACTCAGTCTCAAAAAAAAAGATATACAAGTTCAAATGAGTTTAGAAACATTTAGCACATTGGACTTCCAAGAATTTCCTATGATCCTCTAGGGTGTAAATTGATTTTGTACAGCCATAACAACACCTAAAATCCCTCAGAATAATCTACCATATTTGTGTGTCTGGTGTTATTGCTTGGCTAAAAGTAACTTCTATTAAATAGTTTGAATATTTTAAAAATACATTTCCATTTTAACAAAGCATCATGAGGAACAATGAGATTAAGTTTCAAGTATTTGATTCTAATTCTGTTGTGTCACTGCTAAAAAAATGTATGGAAAACAAAATCAAGACTTTGGAATAAATGAGCCAGTTGGGTGGGATGAATCACCTTACCCCTAAAGTATTGAATTTTTTTAGAAACTAGTCTTTTGAAAATCCTAGGCTATCCTATGAAATAAACTCTGTGCAGTCTCCATTTTTCCCTTGATCAGATTCACATTCTTTGAAAATACTTTTTCAGGGCTGGGGATTTAGCTCAGCGGCATAAGCACCTGCCTTGTAAGCAGGCGGTTGTGAGTTCAATCCCTGATACCGATAAAAAAATGAAAAAGACAAAAAAAAAAAAAAAGAAAATACTTTTTCTTGGGGCTGGAGATTTAGCTCAGCGGCATAAGCGCCTACCTTGCAAGCAGACAGTCATGAGTTTGACCCTTGGTACCGATAAAAACGAAAAAGACAAAAAACAACAACAACAACAAAAAAAGAAAATACTTTTTCTTTTGTCAGAAATTGTTAGTGAAAAAAATTTGGGTATAGTTCACTGCTACTGTGGTTGTCTAGCACACATTTGAGATCCAGCTCACAAAAAACAAACAAGCAAACAAAAACAACCCAAAAAATAGCAGTAAAAAAAGATTACTAAAGGCCTGTTGTAGCAAATGACTGTAATGTCAAGTACTCAGGAGACTGAGGCAGGAGGATTGCTGCCAGTTCAAGACCCATCTGGGCTACATAGAGAGTTCAAGGCCAGCCTAAGCTACATAATGAGAACCTCTCTCAAAAAAATCAAAAATTGTTCAAATTGGGTGTGGTAACACACACCTGTAACCCAGAATTTAGGGGGCTTAAGCAGAAGGATCACCACAAGTTTGAGGTCACCCTTGGCTACATAAGTGAGTTCAAGGTCAACCTCAACTACATAGACAGATCCTGTCTCAAAAAACATTAAAAAGACTAGGGGGATTGCTCAGTTGTTAAGAGCACATATTTTGCATATCTGAGGTCCTAGATTTGATTTTGAGTATCACCAAAAGATAAAATGTTTTATATTGGTCATATTTTTTTGTGTAAAACATGCATAAATTCAGTCCCTACATATTATTCACCCGAGTGCACTTTATTTCCCTTGTACTAAGGATTGAACTTAGGACCTTTACATTCAGCTGTATCACTAGACCTTCTTGAAACTGGGTTAGGCATGGTGGCATACACCTGTAATCCCAGCACTCAGGAAACAGGCAGGAGGATCCCCAAAAAATCCAAGACCAGCCTGAACAACATGGTAAAACCCTGTCTCAAAAAACAAACAAACCAAAGGACAGGGTCCCCCTTTGTGACCTTCCTGTTTCAGCCTACCACAGTGCTGATTCCATTGTTTTGAGCTACACCTGGCTCTGCATCTTACTTTCCTTGATGAAGCAAAACCACTATGCCATGAGCTGCTTCCCAGGCAAACATAGCCAGAATTGAGGGTACCTTTAGATACAGCCACTGAGGAACTAGGCCCACCCATTCAACAGGCTGCAGAAAACTGGATGGTTCCAATAACCATAAGCACACAGGGTTGATCTTCCCTGATCGAATGATCAATCTAAGCCAATTTCTCCACTGTGCTTAGGAGACTTGGAATCTGAGGACCTAAGGGACTGCTTGGATTCCTACCTGTGCAAGGAGGTAATGGATGCATGTTTTTAAGTCACTAAAATTGCAGGAATTTGTTAACCAGTAGATTTTAGTGTAAAGCCTGAAGCTGAGTTACTAGAACCTTGCCAGTGCTATTTTCTTCACTGCTAAACACCATAGTGGGCAGGCTGAGGGTGTACCTCAGAAACAGAGCACTTGGGTTTTTTTTTTTTTTGTCTTTTTTGTTTTTTATCGGTACCAGGGATCGAACTCACGACTGCCTGCTTGCAAGGCAGGCGCTTATGCCGCTGAGCTAAATCCCCAGCCCCTTTTTTTTAAAAGTTTTTTTTTTTTTTTTTGTCTGAGACAGAGCACTTGTGTAGCACATGTAAGGCCCTGAGTTTTTTGCTTTTTCTTTTCTTTTTTTTTTTTGAGGCAGGATTGTTATACAGTTCAGGCTGATTTATTTATTTAGTCTCTTAACTTTTTATCGGTACCGGGGATCGAACTCACGACTGCCTGCTTGCAAGGCAGGCCCTTATGCCGCTGAGCTAAATCCTCAGCCCCTGATTTATTTATAGACATCTTGCTATGTAGTTCAGATTGGCTTTCAACTCACTATGTAGCACAAACTGACCTCAAACTTTTGGTATTTCTCTTTGCCTCAGCCTCCCCAGTACAGGCACACTCCACCACATCCAGAATCACTTCTAACGTTTTTCCAGGACATAGACCAGGTGAAACAATTCCAACTCTGAGACCAGTGTCTGGCAGATCCTTCAAAGGACTGATTGCTTCTGCTTGCAGTTGGTTTTCTTCCAGGCCCTCTTCAGATACAAACTTCCTCATTTATCACTCTCCAACCAGTTCCTCACAGACACTTTTATCCCTGCTGGCACTGGGGAGGCTGAGGCAGGATTGGTAGTTGGAAGGACAGCTTGAACTACACAGTGAGAGTGTTTCAGAAACAACAAACAAAAGACAGGAGACTCTCCATCAAAGTTAAAAGCGCATGAAACACGCCTAGCATTTATTTTAATCACAAACCTACAGACCCCTCAGTATGCCCTCCCTTGGAGCCTGGCCCCAGCAAACCAAAGCTGATGACTTCAGGTGTAGGTGTTATGAGGGGTGGGAACGGGTGTGGGATAGTCTCTTGAAAACTCCAAAATTGGGGATCCTCCAAATGGAGAGCTGGGTGGAGCCCAGAGTTTCAGGGTGACCTAGCTTCTGAATAGAGAAAAATCAATAAAAAATCAGGTAAACAAACAGGGGTACAACATGTATTTGCAACCCTTGCTCTAAACTTCTGCCATGTAGACAACTTCCATTTTCCCTGGCAAGGGAATCCCTTTCACACCATTCTCAAGTTGGACTGGGTACTGATTTTGGGCACCTGAAAGGGTTCTCTACTAATCTCTATCACTGCCCCAAACTGCCCTTCAAGGAATGAGGCAGGTCTGTGCCCAAGAGTGGGGGCCTCTCAATCCCGATGTAGGCCTGGGAAACCAATCCACAGTTTGCAAAGTCAGTGGTCAGCACAAGAGCTATACTGGTCAGGCCCCATTGGTCCTGGGTAGAAGGTGGGGAAAACGTGCAGCACTGTTCCTCCCCAGTGTGGAATGCTCACAGGAGACATTGCAAAGGGCCAGTGGCAGGGTGGTGGTCTCTAAGTGGGTTGGGTTTATTTTACTCATTCCTCCACACCTGAAATTTCTTGCAATGGGCTCTTTTGTAGGTAACAGGTCGGGCTGGGCCTCCATTTTCAGAAGGCCAGGACTGGGTTCCCCTAGTCATCGGAAAGAGGCAGGGCTTAAACCCACAGGGGTAAAACAAAAACAAAAACAAAAAAACCATCCCAGAAGTGGGACCTCTACATCTAGAGCAGCGGTGGCAAACCTATAGCATGCGTGCTGCAGCAGGCTGTTTGTTACTGAAAGCTTTAAGAGGTTTGCCATCACTGATCTAGATTCTTCTTCCAGTGCCTAGATGAGCTAGACGGGTAGTTCTCAAAGAAAGGATGGAGCAGCATCCTAACATCTATTCCCAGGAGACCTGGTTAGGCTGTTCTTTAGGGGACAGAAGTGGGACCTCATCCTGTGTGTCCTTTCCTTACCTGGCCAAGGGTAGGACCCTTAGGGTATGGACCCAGATCTCACAGGCTTCTCCTACCTTCTCCCTCTGAAATGCCTGCACAAGGGGAAGGGGTGGGAGCACATCTGACTCACCATTGCTATTACAGGGGCAGGGCCTGATCCCATGTCTTCCCCCACAATTCCAGGGCAGAGCAGTTTCATTGGAGGGTGGGGGGAAAAAGGCGGAGCCTCATCCTCACAAGTCCTCTTTTCCTGGGTGGGGGAAGTCCCAGGGGAGGGGTGAGGCCTGATCAGGACTCCTCCTCCATGCTGAAGCTGCTGCGGCGGCTGCTGGCCTTAGAGACAGCCGGGGATACTGAAGACAGCAGGGGGTCAGAGGCAGCCCGCAGTGGGGACAGGGCACCCCCTGACAATCCTCCCACCACCCCCTCTTCCTCCTCCATTAGAATGTCCTCCAGCCCCAGATGGAAAGGGTCCCCCAGGTCCCCCAAGTGGTCGCTGGGAAAGTGTAGGTCCAGAAGAGCATCCGAGGGTGGTGCTGGGGGCTGCTGCTGAGGAGTATTCTGGACAGGTGCCCCTGCTACATGAAATGTTGCTGTGCTGGGTCTGCCTTCCTCCTCAATGTCTAGCTGCTCTGGCTTGAGGCTGTCAGAGGCTGAGGTTGTAGCCACAGAGATTAGCCCTGGGGTGGGAGGCACTGGCAGACCATGTATCTGGGCCTGCAGTTCAAGCTCCTGCAAAAAGTAGGGGGTAGGTACAACGTAAGACAGGTTTAGAGTCTCTCAGTGGCAGAAGAGTGTATCACTTCAACACAGAAACTACCCAACTTCCAATTCAGCTTTTACCACTCACTAGTTTTGGAACTTTATGCAAGTAGCTTAAACTCTTTGAGCTGAGTCCCAATCTGTTAAATGAATACAATAATAATATGGGTATTGTTGGGAGGCACGTATGGTTGTGCATGCTTGTAATCCCAGTACTGGAGAGGCTGAGGTAGCAGGATCATCGTGAGTTCCAGGTCAACCTGAGCTACATAGTGAGTTCAAGTCCAGCCTGGACTACATAGTAAGACCCTCTCTTAAAAAAATAAATACAGACACTATGTACATTGGCTAGTGGTCATCAATACTATTATTAAAGTTATAACAATTACTTTTAATCACCATCACCATTATATGAGCTAGGAAGCTGGGGAATATCAAGCATGCTAAGAGGCCCTGTCACCCTTGCTAGCATTTCTTCCTTCAAGACCTGAATCCGGAGCTGCAGGCTGCGGTTGGCTTGCTCCAGAGATCTCTGCCGGCTCTCTAGATCCTTGGAGCGCTGCTGTTCCTTCTGCAACTTTCGGATGTAATCCACAGAGGCCTTCAGGATGGTGCCTTTGTTCCAGCGCATCTCCCTACAAGGTCGGGGGGAGGGGATGAATACAATGCATGTGGAGTCTCTCAGAAGCTAAGGTGAAGATTGCACCTGGCAGACTGGTGCACTCTGCTATGTGCCTGGGGGTACACCAAGCATATGGAATGACTAGGTAAAGGAACCTTCCATTGGTGACCATCACACCCAAAACCTAACCCCTCCTGCCTTTTCTCATACTCATGTTCCTCTGATTCATCTCACTACAGACTTGTTGGCCTTATATTGCTTCTATTTATTCATTTTTTTTTTGTTTTTTGAGACTGGATCTCATTATGCAGTAAAGGCTGCCCTTAAAACTCACTATGCAGCCCATGCTGGCCTCAAACTCATAGTGATTCTCTTGCCTCTGCTTCCTGAGTACTAGCATTACAGGCACGCACCATATCTGGGCCCTCATACTGCTTTTATAACACAAAAAGTCATTCCTATCTCAGTGCTTTCTTGCTGTCTAGAATACTCCACCAGGCAATCATGTGATCCTCGTTGGCCTCCTTAGGTTCTCCTTCTCCTCAGTGCTGGGGATCACCAAGGCCTCATACATGCTAAGCAAATGCTCTACCACCGAGCGCTGCTCCCAGCCCCATCTTTAGGCTGTTTTTAAAGAATTTTTCCTTGTCCCATGAGGCCTGCCCGGTCCCACCCTCTGCACCCTACTGTCACCCTCCCCAACATTCCCATCTTCTATTTTTCACTCTTTTCCGTAACACTCAAAACAGATTTCATAAATTTTATTTATCTTTTTAACTGTCCACCTCCATCTTTCTTCAGTTTTTCACTCTTCTCCATAACACTCAGGACAGATTTCTTTTTTTTTTTTTTTGTCTTTTTCGTTTTTATCGGTACCAGGGATGGAACTCACAACTGCCTGCTTACAAGGCAGGAGCTTATGCCGCTGAGCTAAATCCCCAGCCCCTAGATTTCTTAAATTTTACTTACTTATCCTGTTTGCTGTCCGCCTCCGCTAAAGCATCAGTTTCATGAGGTCAAGAGACTTTTTTTGTTCCCTTTAGTACCCACAGGGCCTTGCCTATACCCGGCCCAAAGCTGAGGCTCCATTAAAGAGCTCTGTAACAAACAGAGGAATAAATAGGAAACTAGATGCATATGTCCCATAGGAAGTGTACACGGGCACTTGCTTTGCTTCCACAGCATATATACTAAAATTGGAAGCAGATGGCTCATGCGAGCCATAATCTCACACACTTAAAATCTGAGGTAGGGACATAGTGAGGGGGCTGCAACCCCTCTTAGTCTGAGAAAGACTACAGGACAACTGCTGCCTGGGTGAGATGGCCTGGTGGGGGTAAGGGGTGGCTGCTGTAGTACAGGGCACCCACCCTTGCTACTGGTCTGTGGTCCCCAACCCCAGACTTACGGGTCATTGGACTTGGGGATGAGGGTGCCAAGCTCCTTGATCCTATCGTTAATGTTGAATCGCCTGCGACGCTCAACTTTGAAGGCAAGAGGAGAAATAGAACAGGAAACAGTTGTCAATAGGCAAAGGAGAGGAGAGAGAAACGGGGGTACTATAAGCTGTTTTGGGGGGGATGACCATGAAGGGAAGCTCAGAACTCAAGCGTGCAGAGGACTGGGCAACACACAGGCAAGTGCACCTGTGCTGGGGCTTACTTAGGTTGTGATTGTCTTTCTTCTGGCGCTCCTTCAAAAGGGCCTTTGCTTCAGTTTCTGAAAGAAAGTTGGGGTGTTCAGGGCTGCTGACACAGGAAGAAGGGAGTAGGTGTATGTATGGAGGGGCAGGGGAAAAACTGCTTTTCTTTTTTGTAAAACTAGGAATCGAACCCAGGGTATTCTCACTGCATTTCCAGTCCTTTTTTTTATTTTGAGATGGCTTCACTAAGTCACTAAGTTACCCAGGCTGGGCCTGAACTTGTGATCTTCCTGCCTCAGCCTCCTAAGTTTTTTTTTTTTTTTTCAAAGATTCAGTATTGCTGTGTTGCTTCCACTAGCCCTGAATCCTTGGGTTTAAGTGATCTTCCTGCCTCAGCCTCTCAAGTAGTTGGGATTATAGGTGTGTATCACTGTACTGGGCGTGAAGTAGTTTTTAAATTTAATTTTTGTGAAATATTATTATTGTAGTATTGGAGATTGAAGCCAGAGCCTTCATACTGATTTAGGTTGGGTTTGAACTTGCAATCCTCCTGCCTCAGCTTACAGTGCTGAGATTATTATTGGTGCATACTGCCACATTTGGCACTTGACTACACATGGCTTTTTTATCGGTACCGGGGACTGAACTCATGACTGCACACTTGCAAGACAGGCACTTATGCCGCTGAGCTAAATCCCCAGCCTCTGGCTACAAATGGCTTGAAAAAAAGTCTGTCCTATTATTTGTGAAGCCATGAGCCATATAGATTAACAGGGAGAACTGTTTGTTCCTTTTTCATTCTTTGCAATGATGGGGGTCAAATACTGGGCCTTGAATACACTAAACAGGTGGTTTACCATGAAGATACACCTCCAGCCTGCTTCTTTGTGCTTCTGTTGATACCAGATATCAAATTCATGACCTCAGGCTTGCCAGGCAGGCACTGTGCTACTAAGCTATATCCTTGGACCTCCTTTTTTTTTGGAGACACAGTGATCCACCTGCCTCTGCCTCCTGATGCTGGGATTATAGGTATATGCCACCATGCCCAGATGCCCGGCCCATTTCTAAAATGCTCAAATCCCTTCCCACAGAATCAGGTCCATCCCGTCTTGGCAGGCATAGGGCTCAGCCAGATACAGAATGTGGGCATGGAATCAAGACCCTAGCACTTACCAGAGATTTCCCGTTTGATGTTGGGCAGCTCAGCTGGGCAGGAGTTGCTGACAGTGATGGCTGATGTGGCCACACCCTGACTACTGTACACATCAAGCAGGTTCCCTGACACAGGCAGCTGGGGGCAGTGAGGGCACAGAAACAATGGTTGGGAACAGGTCCTAGGCTTAGTCTCTCTTTAGAACCAAGCTCCTGACCCTCCACATACCCTCCAAAACTGGGGCCCTTTAAAAACAAAGAATGTTTGATTCCTGGGAACCCTTTCTTTTTCTTTTTTCCCTTTTTGAGGTACTGGGGATTGAACCCAGGGCCTTTACACTGAGCTATATCCCCAGTCCTTTTTATAAAATTTACTTTTTTGTTTTGTTTTTTGAGACAAGGTCTTGCTATGTAGTTCAGACTGGTTTTCAATCCACTGTGATCCTCTTGCATCAGCTTACTTATATCAGCCTCCTAAATCCTGGGATTACAGGTTTTTTAAAAAAATTTTGAGAGGGTCTCAAAAGTCACTAAATTGCTCAAAACTTCTGATTCTCTTGCCTCAGGCTCTCAGAGGACTGAGATTACAGACATGAGCTGCTATGCCCAGCCTCCTTCTCCTTTAAAGGCAATTTCAGGTGACAATCCAGAGCAAAGTGGACTTTCCCTTCCTGTCTGGGGACCTAAGCCTGCCCAACACGCCCATCAGTCCATTCGAGCTCCTCAGATCTCTTTGTGGCCTCTGAAAAACCTCTCCTAACCTCAGGGCTGGCTCTGAGGAGAAACGCTGGAAGATCACCATTCTCAGGTCTTTGTCACCTCTGATGTGACATTCCAGTTTATTAACTCCTCCTACCACAACATTCTGGGAACACTCCAATCCAATCTTCTCAGACCTTGGTAAATTGTCATGGCAACATTCCATCCAAAATCTGGCATTCTGGAGAGTTCTAACCTAATCTCCAGTCTTTCATGGTGATTGAATCCTACCACCACATGGACCTGGTCCCCTGCTGCGATGTACCAGGATCCTGACTCTAGTACTTTCCTGCACATTCTGATCTCTCAGGATTTCTTGTTGAACTATTTAACAACTTTCCAGTTGGCTTACATGTTTTTCTCTGCCTCACGCTATCCTGGCTATATTCTAGCACAACACACTAATACATAAGTATACCCAAAAAGTCCTGACTCTCCATGAGTTGATATGTCTTGAAACCTGCTCCTATCTGCAGACTCTAATAGAAGATTCCTAATAAACTGACACCATTTTTTGTCTAGTTCTGTTTTTGTAGTGCTGCGATGCTAGGTAAACACTCTACCACTCAGTTACATCCACAGTCCCAAACTGGTAATTTTTTTTTTTTTTTTTGTAGTACCGGGAACTAAACCCAGGGTCTTTGTACTGAGCTACATCCCTAGCCTTTTTTTTTCACTTTTTTTTTTTTTTTTATAATTTTTTTTTGTCTTTTTCTTTTTATCAGTACCAGGGATCAAACTCACGACCGCCTGCTTGCAAGGCAGGTGCTCATGCCGCTGAGCTAAATCCCCAGCCCTTTTTTTCACTTTTTAACTTTTGAGATAGGTTCTTGCCAAGTCCCTAAATTTCCCAGAATAGCTTTAAACTTATCGTTCTTATTGGGCATGGTGGTGCATGCCCATAATTTTGGCACTCAAGAGGCTGAGACAGGAGGCTCATTGATCATTGTGAATTCAAGGTTAGCCTGGGCTACCAGTGCATTCAAGGTCAGCCTGCACTACATAGTGAGACCTTATCTCAAAAAACCCAAACAGGCAGGCATCCTGGCAAATACCTATAATCCCAGCATTTGGAAGGCAGGAGGATTGTTGCAAATTCAAGACCAGCCTGAGCTACAAAGTGAGCTCAAGGCCAGCCTGAACTGCATGCAGTGAGAACCTGTCTCAAAAACACAAAAAAAAAAATTCTTCTGTCTCAGCCTACCAAAGTGCTAGGATTATAGACATGTGCCACTACACGCAGCTCTAGCTCTTTCTTTTGGAGATAGGCTCTTGTTAAATTTCTCAGGCTCACCTCCCTTAAACTTGCAATCCTCCTGCCTTGGCCTCTGGAGTAACAATTACAGATATATCAGATATTTACCACCATGCCTGTTTCAATCCTCTTGACAAGGGGGTAAAAAAGCAAAGCTGTAACTACTATGTTCCAAAGCAAGTTAAAAGATTCTTAGAATATTCCAGATTCAGAATGTTACAATGACGCACTCCTGTAATCCTAGCACTGGGAGACTGAGGTAGGAGGATCCCTGCAAGTTTGAGGCCAGCCTAGGTGACGTGGTGAGTTAAGGCCAGCTTGGACTACACAGCAAGAGCCTGTCTCAAAAAAAGTTATAATGATACATCCCTTGCTCTAGCAAAGTTTTATCTACTCTTTGCAAGAATTTAATCTCTTGGCCTAGTTCTCTGCAAAAGACTTGCTACATTTCAGTCACTATAAGTTCAATCACTTGTTATACTCACCATCACATCATGCTTTGAGCCTTTTGGTATGTCTCTGTCACTACATAAGCTAGGTATGGCCAGTGATCTACCTGTCTGTCAGAGTAACAAACTGTTACCTGATCCCATGTCTTGGTACTTCCCATAGCAAAGCCTGAACACTCTGATATGTGATAATATTTCCATTGACTCCTAACCCCACATACATCAGTCTGCAAGGACCACCTCTCAGTGTAGTAGGGCTCAAAGTACAGGGCAATGGCATGTTCCACTCATCATTCGACTTTCCTTTCTGTGTCAGTTCTGGGGTCCCAGCCAGCCAGCATGGGTATGGTCTTAGTGACAGAAAGATGCCCTTATTTTCAGTCCAACTTCCCATGTTTAGGCCTCACCGTGCTAGGGAGCTGCAGCCCTGTGGTGCCTCCGGGCAGATAGCTGAGCATCTCATCGTTGTAACTGGACTCCAGACTGATGATCTCGTCAATGACATCATCAATCTAGGAGAAGAAGTAAACACTGTACAGGGTGAGAAGAACTGGAAGGGGAGGCTGGGAGTATAGCTAGCCGAGTGGTAGAGCACTTGCCTAGCAAAAAACTGGAATGAGGGCATGAGAGTGTTGTATACAGCCTCTTACCTCCTTCTCTGAGCTGGACCCAATGGTGAGTAGTGCCATGGGGCTGTTAGGAGCACTGCCTGTGGGGCCAGTGGCATGGGCAGCCTCAGGAGCAGGCAGTGGCTGGGCACTTGTTGGCCCTGGCGGTGGAGTGAGGGCCTGGGAAGCCAGCTTGGGCCCAAGAGTGGTGGACAGGTACTGTTTCACTTGCTGCCGGCGTGCTTGCTGCAGGTGGTAGCGTGTTGGGTTCTCCAGGTGGGTCTGTACCTGTGGAATAAGACAGATGAGGGGGCAGGGGACAAGGTAGAACAGGGCTGAGTGGCACAGCTCTAGGCACCAGCCTGATCCTTCTAACCAGTCTGTTCCTGGGTTCAGAGGGGCAACCTGGGCCTAGAATTTGAGAAACACTCAAAAATATTGGTGACTGGGTGTGGTGGCAGTCAGAACTGAGGGAAGCTGAGGCAAGAGGACTGAAAATTTGAGTCCTGCCTGGGCAACTTACTGAAATCTTGTCTCAAAAACAAATTGGGGGCCGGACATGATGGCTCACTCCTGTAATCCCAGCATTTGGGAGGCTAAGGTAAGTGGATCACTGCAGTTTAAAACCAGCCTGGGCTACAAAGTGAGCCCAAGGCCAGCTTGAACCACATAGCAAGACTCTTTCAAAAAGACAAAAAGAAAAAAAAATGGGGGACTAAGAATATAGCTCAGTGAGAATGTCCTTGTGTTTGATCCCCAGTCCCATAAAAGTTAATAAAATAAAAAATTAATTTTTTTGTAGTACTAAGAACTTAAAACTAGGGCCTGTACAGCATTACATCCCCAGTCCTTTTTACTTTTTGTTTAGTTTGAGACAGGGTCTTGGCTAAGTCCTTTAGCTGCCCAGGCAATCCTCCTGCCCCAGCCCCCAAGAGTGCTCAGGTTACAGGTGTGCACTACCATGCCTAGCAAAAACATACAAAAATATTGGTAACTATGCTAGTAGATCAAAATTCCCTTTCTCAGAAATTTTCCAGTCCCTAAAATTCACCCAGCTGACAGGATCTTTCACAAGAAGAGCTCCTTGTCACAGACCCTAAGACTCTTCCCTAGTCTGTGATACACCAAAGATACCTGGGAACTACATATGGCTTCCAGAGACACTGTGATAGCTAAAGAACTTGTATCTCTTTCTCTCTCGCTTACATACACATACACACACGACTTGTCCTATAAAGCCTGGGCCCACCTAGGCCACTCAGGAACCTCCATGGTCTATCAAGTCATCCAGAGAACCTTCATGAATCCATAAGAACACCTTAAAAATGCTAAACACATGGGAAATTAGCACAGCTCATTAACATCTTCAGGGACCTTCCTTAGAGCCCCCTAGACCTTGACCCAAAGCTACCAGGAACCCAGGCCACCCCTAGCTTCCAGAGTCACTCCTTAATTAGCAGGAGTTGACTCTCAGGGCCTCGAGACCTCACCTTACCTTGAGCACCTCCCTTGGCACCTGAGCAGGTGGTGGCCGGCTCAATGTGTGGCCCCCAGTGGAGACGCCGACCACAGAGATGGCGGGAGAGGCAGGCGCAGGGTTGGGGAAGGCAGTGGCCGCAGCCTGTTCCCGACGCTCACGCCTCTCCTGCTCTTGTGCCTGGGCCCGCATGAGCTGCTGTCGCAGCAAGACCCTTGATGAAGATGATGACGACATGGCAGGGGTCCTGGAGCCCCCTGCAGAAGACGATGCAGAGAGTGTAGCTGGGGTGGCCTGCAGTGATATTGGGAGGCTGTGGAATGGGAAATATGGGGCCACAAGTAAGCTAGGAATCTCTTGCCAAGCCTAAGGGACATCACATGCTGGAGCAGACATGGGAACCAGGCCTGGCCAGTGTGATAGGAGATCACCAGGACCAGACCCAGTCTCAGTACCCAGAGGTCGAAGTCTGGTAGGTGAAGTTGAGCCCTCAGTCCTAATGGAGGAGTGCAGGTTTGAACGCGTTCGCATTAAGAAGCATCGATGCTGGGGCTGGGGATTTAGCTCAGCGGCATAAGCGCCTGCCTTGCAACCAGGCAGTCGTGAGTTCGATCCCTGGTACCGATAAAAAGGAAAAGACAAAAAAAAGAAAAAAAAAAAGAAGCAGCAATGTTGTTGGTAGCTCTGCAAGAGGGCTTCATCCCAGTTAAAAGTGAGCCAAAGCAGAACTGGAAGCTGCAGCCACAGCAGACAAAGGCTATAGAGAGGACTCCAGGATCCAGCCTAAAGCAAGACATGTTCTAAGCTATTGCAAGTGAGCACCAGACTACAAGGCCAGCAGAGGCCCCCAGTCCCTCCCTGTCTGGGCCACTGGTCCCAGAAGCTGGGCAGTCTTGAAAAATCAGAGATTTCACAATCCTCTCTTCCTGCCCCTCTTCCAGGTCCCCCCCCCCCCAGAGCCCAGGCCGATGACTCAGCACATTCAGACTTCCAAGCTAGGGAAAGAAAAGACCAGAAAGGGTTCTTCAAAGGCTGAGAGTGGGTGGGATCTGGCCGGTGAGAAAAGCTGGGCAGGGGCGTGGCCCCGCCCACCTAGGGTGGGAGTCTCAGCAGACCCGCCCCCCAGGAAAACTTGAGCAGCTGAGGGTGAGCAGGAGGGGCAAGGCAGGGGAGGCTAGAGATGGAGACCAAGTCTGTTGGCCCTGCCTTCCTGCTGACCTGTCCTTTTCAGATCCTAGTTCTAACAGCTAGAAAATACAAGCTGCTGAGAATGGGTTGGGCAGGCCCTGATGGCCTCTGGGGATCCTGAGGAGGAGCCGAGAACCTGGGAGGGGTGTCCTAGTGGGAATCATACCTGGAGCGTAGGGGTAGGGGTTGGCTTTTGAGCTCGTAGAAACTGTCCGGATCAAGGATGTTTTCTAATTCGATGTCAGCAACAATCCCAGATTCCGGATGCAGAGAGTTCAGGCTGCGGTGGAAGGGAGGGAGGAGTAGTCAGTGATTGTAGCCTTATTATTCCCCTCCTTTCTCCAGAGACAGAGGAGGCCCCTTTATGCTGTGAATTTCACATCTGTTCCCCACCCCTTTCCTCTTCCGCTCTCCTAGGCTCAGGATTACCCCCACTCTGCTCAGAATCAGAATAATAAGACTGCCTGAAACCCAGCCCCCTCACTCTTAACAACCACAAGCAACAACAACCTGGGCTTGAGGAAAACAGAATGTAGGAATGACAATTCATTTCATAGGATTCTTGGCTTTGCATACAGAGCTCTCCCAGCCCCCATACTCCCCACTGTTTTCCTAATAGCTGAATGTGAGCCCACACACACACACACACACACACAAGCACACACATATTTGCAGCAAGAAGGGGCATCCCGGGGCTGGGGTTTAGCTAAGCGGCATAAGCGCCTGCCTTGCAAGCAGGCAGTCATGAGTTCGATCCCTGGTACCAATTAAAAAAAAAAAGAAGGGGCATCCCTTAGCACAAAAGCCCATTTAACAAAAAGTCGACATATCACAAGGAGAACAGGACAGGGGTGATGAGTCACTTTACCTAAGATCTATCACTTAGAAAGTGAGTTTTTCCCAGCCTCAGACAGAGTTCATGGGATACAAATACACACACAAATATAAAAATGACAATGTGTGGGGCTGGGGATTTAGCTCAGAGGCATAAGCACCTGCCTTGCAAGCAGGCAGTCATGAGTTCGATCCCAGGTACCGATAAAAAGGTTAAAAAAAATGAAAATGTGACCCAGGTGTGGTTATGAATGTCTGTAGTTCCAGCATTCTGGAGGCTGAGGCAGGAGGACTGCTGCAAGTCTTGAGGCCAGCCTGGGCTATGATATGAGTTCAAGGCCAGCGTGAACTACAAAATGAGATCGTACCTCAGAAAAAAAGAGGGGGGATATTAAAGAGTCCCCTTGCTCCAATAGGCTAGATTTATAATACAGAGGATTTGGCTGGATGATCTACCTTATAAGAATATTCTTTTCTTAGCTGGAGGGACCTGCACAACCCTCTCTTGCTTTTTCGGATACATCAAAACATACACATTCCCAGTACCAAGACTTACTGTCATACATAACAAGACATAAACATTCCCTTCCTTTCTTTTGACTGTACCCACTACCGTGATGTTGTAGGACTAGGTTGTTAGAAAGAGTTAGAAGATGGTGAACAGATTTTCAGAGAAATTCCTGCTCAGCCCTCACACCCAACCCAAGAACCCCAGTGTCCAGGGAACACTTGCACATGGATGAACAGACATATCCGAATTTAAAAAGGTAGAACCATAAGAAATTAAGGATGACTACTCTTGAAAAGACACCCCCCCCCCCCGCAATGATTTGTTTTCCTTCTCCTTGCCCTCAGATGGGGCCCTAAAACCACCCAGGAAGTTGGGAAGAGGAAGCTTGGGGGAGCTGCTGAGCTCAGCACAAAATCAGGCAGAAAGGGGACAAAGCCCCAACTTGTGATCACACACCTATTGCACCAAGTAAAAGAGATGGGCGCTGTGGGGGAAGAGGGGCACAGATAGGGCGGGCTGGAGCTCCAGAGTGAGGGAAAGAAGCCAGAAAGAGAGAACCCACCCAGGCAGGGATGTGCCACCCATACTCACTCCAGCTCTAGGGACAGACTCGAGATTCAATCCAGGAACTCCGAGACCAACTAGAAGGGCCAGACAAAAACAAGAGCGTACTTGCAGGGAGAGGGCAAGCAAGGCTGGCCGAGAGGCTGAGTGGCAGCAGGATCGAGACCCTCCTCTTGGGTTCCCAAATAAGGTCTGAGGCCTTTTCTGGACTGAGAGGGAACAGCCTCACTGTCCACTTTCCCCGCCCTCTGGCGATGCCCTATTGAAGCCCCTGCAGGTGTGGGAAGAAGGCAGAGATCTGTGCCGCGGGGGAGGGGTTGGTGGTGGGATTACTCTGGCCAATTCTTATTGAAGGTAGCTTCTCCCTCACTTACACTCCGAAGTCTGTCCCCCACTAGGCAAATCTGACATCTACAAATCCCTCCAGATTCATCATGTTCCCAAACAAGGCAAGCACCACCTGGAGGCACTGAGCTCCCAGAACAGCACCTATCCCCTAGGACGCTAAAATTTTAGTAAAATCAGTGCCTCACCTAACAGTGCCCCTTAGATTCACTCCTTTCATGCACACTCAAGAACCCCAAATTCAGCTTCTAATCAGCCTCCCCAAATTCAGCGACCTGAGACTAGTTTCTGTATACTCTAAAATCTACCCCTCTTGAGCCATTTAGGTCCCCCAAATCAAACCCTGACCACCTTTAATGCCCTCCCACGACTCCTTTAAACCTCAGTCCAGGCTGGGTTACCACCAGATTCTTTAGGTGCTCCCCCAGACAGGCGCCCCGACGTCCTCCAAGCCTAGGCCAAGAGTCTCCAATCCCAATCCAGGATCCCCGATATCTCCGGATGAGGTCCTGGGAACCCCAATTGGCACTCCCAGCCCCAAGCGTCCCGCACCTGAGCAGCTGGGCCGAGTCCGCGGATCTGTGCTCCTCCAACAGTACGAACACTGCTCGAGGGCCCTCAGAGCTGGGCTCTACGCCGTCCGGAGCTGGCTCAGCTTCATGAGACATGACGCCCGACCCCGGGCGAGCCCTGCCAGGCCAGTCGGGCTTCGGCCCGGTCCCCCTAACAAAATAAGAGTCCCCCTCACCCCACTCGCCACTGCCTCCTCCCGTGCTAAGCCATGAAGCTAGGCTCTGCGCGGGCGAGCGGCGTCGAGAAGATGGGATGGGCCGTGAGTCATCCCCCGCCCAGAACGGACCGACACCCCCCAACACCTAACCCTAGACGACCGCCCTCCTCCTCCTCGTCCTCTTCCCCCTCCTCCTCAGGCTGGGGAAACTCCACAGGAAGTGACCACACGCGGATGGACAACTCAGGGTCACGCCCCCTAAGCACGTCAGCCAATCGCTGGAGGCAAATTTCAAGATCCGCCCTAAATCTCGCCTTTGAACCTGGGAACGCTTACCCCTAACCCCTCCTTATTCAAAGAAGGGGGCATGTACGCCACGCCTTTGGTGCCAGAGGCAAATAAGCGATGGGTAATTTGTTGAGTCACGCCTCTACGTTTGCGTCGCTCACTGAGCCACGCCTTCCCGTCGCACCTTATTCTCTCCCCAAAATATTAAACCGCTCCTAGGGTCCTCTGCGCCTGCGCACCAATGGCCAATCAGCACTCAGCGGGCCTCCAGGTTGAGCTTTTCGCTGCGAAACCGCGCCCCCTCTCGACCCACGGTCGTAACAGCTGCGCGGGAGACAAGAATTTGTCTAAAAACTTTGATCTAGCTGTGCATCCGCAGCCAAACCCACAAGTACGAGGAAGGACTAGCAATGTTTCCTGGAGGTCTTGGTCATAAACCCTGTCCTTCAATACCCGCAGACTAGCCACCATGCTGGTCTTGCTAGGAGAATTCAACTTAGTTGTGACGAACCTATGGCACGCGTGCCACAGCAGGCACACTTAGCCTTCTCTGTGGGCCAGTGAGCCAAGTGTGTTGAGTTGTGTTTTTTTTATAAACTAAAACCTCAGTATTCATGTTTGATACCAGGGTTGGCACTTTGCCATAAATAAGTGGGTTTTGATTTGCAGTTTAGGCACTTGGTCTTTCAAAAGTTTGGTAATCACTGTATGCCATCAAAAGTTGTACTATGGTAGTTGTGTTATTGTAATATATACTTAATGGATCCTTGACAGATGAATGCGTGAATGGATGGAAATTAGATCTCTTTCTTCAGAGTGAATGACTTGTGGAATAAGGAACCGGGTTTGACTATAATAGGGGTCTTCTTCTCTCCCAGCTACTGTTTTCTTGGCCCCTAAAGGGTGGGGAGGTATTATAATACCTGTTTGGCAAGGAGGCTTAGAGATAAACTACCAAAAGTGCTAGCAAGTTGGTTGGCATACAATTAGCTCTTCAGTAAACTAATTGATTCATTCATTTGTTCACTGATTTACCATTTCCTGGTCCCAAACACATGCAAAGAGCTTGAACAAAACAGTTTCCCAGCTTATCTTCAGGTGCATATAGCAAACAAAACCCTGAGGTAATAGTTGATACATTGTGTCAATTAGAGACATTTAGAAGTTTAAGCAATTCAGCAGGGGCCCCCAGGGCCTCACTTTGTAAATCCTCTTCCTGTGCAAGAGGAGGGCAGGATGATGGTGGAGCCTGCTTACAGAATAAGGGAGTAAAAGAGGTGTGCTTTTAGTTCTTGCTGCTTTTGCTGCCTTCTCTGCCATGAATGTTGCCCTTGTGCCAAGATATCCTGCCTTGGGGCCAGCTGATTATGAACTGAAACCTTCACAAAATGTTAGCTAAATATACTTTTGCTTCCTTAATTTTAGGTGTCTGGTATTTTGTCTCAGCAATGAGAGAAAAGTAACCAAGACAACTGGGATCCACAATTGGGATCACTCCTTCCCACTGCCCAAGATCCTAGCATCATTAGATCTCCAGAAACACTGAGTTTATATTCTCTGGTTGGGACACTTATTACCAAGGTTTGGTAAACACAGGCATTCCTGCATAAACAATCCCATACAATGGGGAACCCTCTACAAAGTAAACATGACAATTCTTCCCAAAGATAATCTTTTAAAAAATCAGTACATTTGTAAATAAGGAGGGACAGTAGGGTTGAAGGGAGTCTAGGGGAATGGGAAGAAAATCAAGTTATATCATGTACAAATTCCCTATGATGAATGTGGTCATTAAGTATACCTAAAATGTACCAATAAACAATTTTTTTACAAAGCTGTGCATGGCAGCGCACACCTGTAATCCCAGCACTCAGGATGCTGAGCCAGGAGGATCGCTGTGAGTTTAAGGCCTGGGCTATGAAGTGAGTTGAAGGCCAACCTAAACTGTTTAGTGAAACTCTGTCTCAAAAACCCTCTTACTGCTTTTTCTCCTTTTGCTTGGCCCAAACTTGGTCTGCAGAGCAAGTCTCACCTGAACTCCTCACTTTTACTTTCTCAAACTTGGCTACAGCTTTTTGCTCATTTTATTCAATTCTTTGAGATAAGAATAATTTGGAATCTAACTCCAGAGAGAAGGGCGAGCAACCCAGAACCTAGTAATGCTTAATTGGTAAGCCACTTTTAGAAGCAGTTACCCATTAACAGTACTCCCTGATGATGATTTTTGCCACAATCAGCCATTTCATCCGGGGTTGTAAAATTATGGTTTTTGAATTTGAACAACTTTCTCCTATTTTTCTTAGATAGAATTCCTCTTTAAAGGACTTTCTTTAAGCCACTCTAATAACCTAGTGTAATTGAGATGAATTTACACTGTTTTTGGCTAACCTCAATTGCTAATAAAAGGTCACTTAAAATATTCCAGCCCGTTAGTTATATATGGATGTGCTGGTGTACACCTATGATCCCAGCACTTGGGAGGCAGAGGCAGGAGGATAGTCATGAGTTACAGGCTAGCCTGGGATAGATAGTGATTTCAAGACCAGCTTGAACTACATAGTGAGACCTTATCTCAAAAATCGCAATAAAAAGAGGAGCATATAAAATAAATAGTTCTCAGATGAAGAAGTAGAAGCAGCCAATAAATGCATGAAAAAAATGTTCAACGTCACTGGCCATTAGAGAAATGCAAATTTAAATAATACTGAGATTCCATCTCACTCTAGAAAGAAAGGCTATTACTGAGTATGCAGCCCAGGTCTGTAATCCCAACACTTGGGAGGCTGAGGCTGGTGGATCACTGCAAGTTGGCCATCCTTGGCTATAAAGTGAGTTCAAGTTCAGCCAGAATTGCATAGTAAAACCCTGTCTCAAAAAAAAAAAAAAAAAGAAAAAGAAAAATAATAGCTGTCATCAAGAAATCAATAACAGGGCAGGGGATTTAGCTCAGTGGCACAGTGCCTGCCTGGCAAGTATGAGATCCTAAGATCAATTCTCAGTACTCCTGCCCCCCAAAAATCAATAACAAATGCTGGTGAGGTTTAGAGGGTGGTAGATGGGGAGGAACTCTTCTTCATTGTTGATGGGAGTATAATCTGGTCTACCACTGTAGCAATCAATATGGACAGTACTCAAAAAACAACTAAAAAGAAAACCAACTGGAAATTCCATTTGAACCTATCTATTACCCTTCTAGGTATCTTCACAAAAGATTTAAAGACATTCCACAGTGATGCATGCATACCCCATTTTCTAGGAGCACAATTTATCATAGCTAAATCTTAGAAGCAGCCTATATGTCCATCATCGGATTAATGAATAAAGAAAATGTATTTATACCCAATGGAGCACTATTCTGCCATAAAGAAGGATAAATTAGAGTCATTTGTAGAAAAAAGGGAAATAAATCAGACACACAGTTTAAATGTCACATAGCTTCTTTTATATGAGAAATCACTATGTAAATAAAGTACAAAATATAAAGTATATAGTAGGATAAAGAGAGAAAAAATTATTGTAATCCAGCATGGACAATGTATCTAAAAATGCACCCTGATTTAGTATAATTGTCTGCTCTGCTTTATATATATTTTTTCCCTATTAGTCTGGTTGTTAATCTCTGTGTATGATAATTAATTTTATAAGGGCTTGTAGGACAAATAAATAAATCTGATGGTGGCAAAAAGTGGGGGTGGATGGGAAAGGTGAAAAACAATTGAGATATGTTATGTGTATGTACCAATTTCCCACAATGAATGTAATGCAAATATATACTTATAAAAATTGAAAAAAGAAGGCAGAGGACATAGTCTTTTTTTTAAATCAGTACCAGGGATTGAACTCACGATCACATGAGCGCCTTGCAAAGCAGGCGCTTATGCCACTGAGCTAAATCCCCAGCCCCAGAGGACATAGTCTTAGCAGACTCAAAATATATTACAAAGCCTTAGTCATGGAAATATGATAAGGTAATACAATAGAAAATTAGAGTTGGGCATCTATAATCCCAGTATTCTGGGAAGCTGAGGAAGGAGGATTAAAAACTGAAGCCTATCCTGGGCAATTTACTTACTTAGTGAGATGATCTGAAAATAAAAGATGAAAAATGGATGGAGATATAGTTCAGTGTGAAGGCTCTGAGTTCAGTCCCTACTACTGGGGGCAGGGGGAACAAAAACAAAAAACCCACCTAGATCAATCGTAAACAAAATTAAAAAGTTGACTTGGAGCTGTGGGTGTAACTCAGTGCCAGAGTATATGATTAGCATATAAAAGGTCCTGGGTTCCACCCCCACTTCCAACACAACCATAAAGCTGACTTGGATATTTATATGACTTAATAAGAAATATTTCATGTCACTGGGAGAGAGGCAGACTATTCACCAAAATGGTTTGGGAGAAATGACTTTCTTGGAGGAAGGCATTTGATTTTTTTCTGAGACAAGGTCTTTCTGTTGCCCAGGCTGTCCTCAAATTTTTGTACTTAAGCAATCTTGTGGCCTCAGTCTTCCCAATAGCTAGATAGATACAGGATAACATACCCAATTAGGATGAGATTTCTAATGCATGCCATTCAGAAAAATTAATTCTGGATTTATTAAAGGCCCAAACATAAAAAGCAAAGCCATCAAGCTATAAAAATATTCAAACAAAATATTTTTGAGGAATATGTGTAAAGTGGCAGGAGGAGGTGGTACACGACAACAATCCCAGCATTTGGGAGGCTGAGGCAGGAGGATCACTGCAAATTGCAAATCCAAGGCCAGCCTGGGCTACATAATGAGTTCAAGGCCACCTGGCACTACACAGTGAGATCCTGTCTCAAAACAAAACAAAGAGAACATGTCAGGCCAGCCTGGGCGTGCTGGTGCACATTTATAACCCCAGCAAT